CAGTATTGCACGCAAAGCTTGTACGAAATCGCAAGTAAGACAGCATAAAGGCCAAATGGCAGACACTACACGCTTTCCTCTCGGAATACATCCGAGGAGGGTCGAAATTCTTTCGCAGTAGCGAAAAATGTTTATTCACTCCCTCATTCTCCCTCACCTTCTCTCTCTCTCGCTCACTCTTTCTGCCACTTATTCATACACACTTCAGTATTATTCTTTCACAATCCAGGACAACGATTCCAAACGACCCTTCACATCTATGGTCCATAATAGCTTCGACGTATATCCGACGAGTTAGTAACAAAATAATAATCCACACGTGTGTGTGTGTGTGTGTGTGTGTGTTTGAGTACATCACCTGAGAATAAATCGTGATATATCCCTTCGTTTCCTTCCTATCGTAAATCCTTTGGGATTTTTTTTCCCCAGTTTTCTCTCGCTCGACATTACAAATTTTCCCTCTCGTACGGTAGTGCCTTAACAATCTGTCGTTCAACGGAAAAATATATAGCGCAATATATAGGGCGGTGGTATTAACGCCGTCATGTCCAGGTCGACGCGGGCCGAATGGCTTTGACATCTTAATATTAACATCCTAATGGAACGTTAATCTCTTTACGAACGAAAGCTTTCGGAAGAAAGTCGCCCCTCTCCGGATAATTCGGTGACACAGTACACACACAAAGAGGAGAATTGCTGTTCTCCTCTCGATTCTGGTAGAAAAAAAAAAAAAAGAAGAAAAAAGGGGAAGAAGTTGAAAGCTGCAGGATCCTGTCGTCACTGTAGCCAAAATAAAGTAGATGAAGACGGGATTGCGAGCGATTTTCTTCTCTCTTCGTGTAGCTTCAGCCGCGATGCGAAGGTCCTAAGAAGAGAAAAGAGGAAAAGTCCAGCGCCGCTTCCACCCCGGAGAGGCGACACGAACACACGCTTTTTTTGATTTGCCACCCCGGGACGAAGCGCTCTCGCCGATGCGATACGACCCGACAATTATATAGATATCACCGTACTTCACGCACGTGAAAAGGGGGGGAACTTTGGCAACAAACACACATTCGCATCGTTAAGGTTTTTCTTTGCAGCTGGACAGCACAGCCTTTCACACGCACGCACAAAAAAAAATCCGTAATTCGACATGCACAGTCTCTCAATCTCACTCTCATTTGTTATCTCACTAATAATAGCGGCATTAATTGTAATCTCTTAATTAGATAATTCTGCCGTAGCGTTGGTAATAATCATACAATGTTATATCATACAGCGTCATATGTACAATACGAGAGGAGAATCGTTTTCGTTATCGAGTAACAAATTGTACAGCGACGCGGGACCAAAACGTCGAGGGTACACACATTCGGTCGATTTCCCTCGAAACCGTCGCGAGAGTACTTTTGCCTCTCGTTCTGCATCCCGTCCTGAAAGAAGCAGCCAGTTGCGCGTAGCTATTTCCCGAGATAGTCGCAACAATCGGCTGCTGCTGACTCGCATTTTTGTCGTCGCGAGCGAGCGATTAACGACAATTGAATAGCCGGAACTGGGCAAAGGGAGAAGATTAGGTCATTCGTGTCCTGTACCCTTCTTTGAAAAACTAGGAACATCAATTAGTTATTATACAGGGTGTCCCATTTTAACGAAAAGTAATTTAATTATAGTGTTTTGGAAAGCTCTCGAGATGAGCTGTAAGAATGTGCAATGAGAAATAAAGGGTTCCATTTAAAAAATTAAAGGTGACTTTCAGAGGACTATCCAAAGTCAAATCGATGGCACCATCTTATGTCCCCCTTCGAGTCAAACAACTTTTGTCTGAAACATTTTTGTCTACTGGATTTAGTTTTCGAGATATTTGGCTAGGTCATTTAAAATGGGACACCCTATATATATAATATCTATTATAATTGTATATATATATATATATATATATATATATATGTATATAAAGTATATATAAAAACATAATAATTCTTAGAAAACTCCTGTACCAATTCAAAAACAAACTTGGAAAGAAATGATTTAAACATCATTTGATCCTTTACGTTATTTTTAATTTATAATTTATTTATGTAATTTACATTGTCTCTCTGAAGAAGGCTAAAAAATGAGCCGAAACATGTAAGCACAATTGTTATAATAAATAAGTTTTGCTTGATATATATCGGCGTTTGCGTAAAGTTATCTGCGCTTGACTCCTAGTGCCCTTTTCTTTCCAAGTTTGTTTTTGTATTATATATAAAATAATTAACTCCTAGTTTTTTTTTCAAAGAAATGTGCAGGACACGAATGACCTAATCGTACGTACTGAGAGTTAAAAGGGAATCTGTGCGAGACTGGGCTAGACTCGAGGCGTTTTTCGGAGCGAAGAACATGCACTGAAACAGACTTCGTTGTAATGAATAATGATGCAAATCGATGTGAAAGAAAATAAACATATTTTATTTCTTCTCATAAACTTAAACTTCATATAAACGAAAACAGTAAAGAAGGTGGGCGGGGGGGATGTACAGGTATTCGTAGTTGTAACGTATAGTTTTTCCGCTTTTTCTTTCCCTTTTTGTATAATTTTTTTTTCTTTTCATTTATCTTTGTTTCGTGTTCGCTCGTCCTTCTCTCCTTCCTCGTCGTCTCGTTTCTCTCTAGAGTTGCGTCTACTCGTCGTTAACCGCCTGATCTTGATCGCGCCGTGCAGATTAAAGAGACAAAAGTCGCCCCGGCCGGTCCGCGCGTTTCCATGTGTGTGTGTGTGTGTGTACGTCGAATGAAGAAAAAAAAGAAACTTTAAGTAATTATACATACTCTACATGTGCGACATAGGTTGGCGTAGCTGGCCACCCCACACTCGCTATGTACACTGTTAAATGGTCCTAATCTTCTTTTTCCTCCTTCTTTCCTTCTTTCGCTTAGTCCTTTTCCACAAGTACATATGCACTAGTATCCGCGAAACTCTTATCACTTAGCCATTTGAACCGGTCAACATGGCACAGGCTGAGACTGCATTCAGTTGCATTTTAAGGCGAATGGAGCACTTGACTCTGTTTCATTTTTTTTTTGTGTGTTTTTGAATTAGTTTTTTTTTTCTTTTCGCGCGTGGAGTCGAAGTAGCTCGGAAAAAGAGAGTATCATTCGCGTGGAGAAGCAACGGCGAGTTGCTTAAGCGATTTTCAGTCAAAGTAACAACCGGTGTACCGCGAGATTGTTCACAGCATGTCGAGAGGTGCGTGTGGTGTATGTACGTGTTTAAAATAGAAAATAAAAAGGAAATAAGAGATAAAAAAAGAAAAAAAAAAACCGTCGTGCAGTCCCAGCGTATTCTCCGTTGGAGCGACATACACGGAGAGGGAAAGAATCTGGAAGAAGCACGGAATAAGAAGAAAGTTTAAAAAGAAAGTTCTCTCGGTCGAAGAAGTGGAAAGGCGATTCTCGCGATTACACTTTTGGAATGTAACTGTCGACATCAGCAACTGAATGTAATGTAAAAAACGTAATAATTGCAGGCAAACAGAAGGGAGGGCTAAAAAGGCGTCCACAGACAGTCTAACGTAATGTCGCGTGTCTCCTGCGAAGTTGCTTTAAAAAGGGAAAAGAAAAGAAAAGCGTGACACTTCGGGATACTTTCGTCAAATCTGTAAGGTATTTTAGCTCTGCGGCTAATATAGTCGTACCTCTTTTTTCCGAGTTACTCTCCGATATGCGTGATAAACGCTTGCGTCGTACAATTAAATATCTCGATTTTTCTCACTTATCTCGAAAGCTGTACTTCCAGCTGGAACTCTATCTCCTATATACTGGACAAAAATGAAAATTATCAACGGAGTACGGCTATCCTTTTTTTTCGTTTTTACACAATTTTGATATTTTCGCAAAGAAAGAACGATATATATAACAAACTTTACCAATTCTAATTCATTAATTAATAATTAACTCGCGTTATAATACTACATACACTTTCATGCTTCCGTGCGAAACTTATCATATCTCGCGTTTTATTATTACCTACGAAAGCGATAAGTTTCCACGATCGCATCCCCACTCATTCTATTTTTTCACATAGATGTATGAGACTGCTGTACGAAGATTTTAGAACGATACCGCTTCGTGATTTTGTAACAACGTTAATAATTAAATCATTACGATTATTAGAATATGTTTTTGTGCCCCGACGTTGGGAGGCAGACGTCGTGAAAATAACAAATCGATAGATGTAACTAAAAGTTAGTTCAAACGCAAAGGGATTATTTAATTTGAAGTATGATATCGTGAACTTACACTATACTCTCTCTCTTTTTCCCCTCCTCCCCCCCCCTCTCTCTCTCTCCCGAGGTTACAGAACTCATAAACTTACATTTAAAAACCGTATAATTACAATAGTTAAAAGCGGCAATTATATGCATCATTTTTCTTAGGCTCAATTTTTCTTAGGCATTTACAGGCATACGAATTTAAGATACAACTTATATATCTTCTTTCCTTTTTATCTTCAATTAATTCAAAAGATATTCACCCGTATATATACTTCCGTATATACATGCACATTTATATTACAGAGCGTACGTGCTTTCATTTACTAGGTGCTTCATCGAAATAGTAACGCAGTCACGTTTTTTTTTTTTCTTTTTTTTCTTACGCCTGTAAATGAATGCCTCGAAAAAGTAAAGGAAATGCAAGAGAACCCCCGCGCGCGTTTCAAAAATCGACGGATCGTCGTTCGTTGGTAAGATACATTCGACAAAACGAAAGCTTAGGAACTGGGAACATATCTCGCGTTATAGAGCTTTGATGAAAGTCGAGTTACATTTAATGAGCAAACGATATACACATTAATACAGCGCACACGAATTTATCTTCCCGGGGCAATGCCTCTCTCTCCGCAATCGAACAGCAATCTCACTTTTATGATCATCCGACACAGTTTACACGAATTATACGCACACCCCATTCACACTATTATATCTTTATCGATCACAAGCATCTTCTTATAATTATCATTATGAATAATTATCAGTTACTTTTTTTTTTTTTTATTAAATAAGCAAGTCTGTGTAAAAATTTAATGTTTTTTTCGAATATTCAGCATTCTATCTTCACAGACATATGACCAGACTTTGAGCTTGCTTTGACATCTTCGAAACCCAGGTAGTGACCTTTTTTTTTCCCCCTTACTATTTTAAATTATCGAATGTGCTCCACGATTGGAAGAAGTAGCCACTCTGAGTTCTAAGTCAACCAAACTATCTCTCAATATATTACACAACCACGCATTTACATTTTTCTGATTTACAGTCCGCACATCTTAAATTTGCATTTATCGAGTAAAGTACGTTAACTGTGCATACATTTTAACCATCATCGTATTTCGACTCACCAATCACCGTTGATCTTCCATGATGATCGATTTAAGAATGCAAGATCGTTCCATCTTAAATCGTTTCATCACGAGCTCAAAACTACTTACAGATGTTTTACAGTGCTTCTCATAGATTTCTCGATGTGATTAGTGCAGGCTTCTTAGATAATTTCCCCATTGATTCGCCTAAAGATTCGCAGCTCCAAAGGCACCAGGAGATACTGCTGTTGGACTTTTTCCACTCAAGACTCGCTTTATGGTAGATCTGGTTATTACAAGTCTTTGTAGCATTATCCTTTAAGCACTTCTTAATATCGTACACCCATATAAATCAAGACAATCTTTAAAAATTTATAGAGATGTCTAATGTATATACACGCGTGACTTGTACGCTGGAAGTTCCCTTTATTCAAAGAAACAGGATACATCTCTCTCTCTCTCTCTTTCTCTTTCTCTCTCTCTCTCTCTCCCCCCCTCTCCCTCTTTCAGCAAAGAGATATTTTTCGACCGAAAGTTCCTAATTGTCAATACTGAAGTTCTGCGACACTGTCACAATCGTTGGAAATTTATGCAAGTACAATGTACATTGCTGGAATATATACTTTATCCTTCTTCTACAGTCTCCTGTCAACTTGGTTATATGTACATTGCTATTATTATCTCTTGAGGCACACTTTGCACCATTCGGCTCCATCGATCTTGCGCGTTTGACTCTCAAAGTAAGACGGACAGAATTGTCCGAACGAACTTTACGTCTCGAGAAGAGCAACCGTGCACGCAACACATACAAGTACTTGAGTCTCCAACGTGATCGAGACTCATCGAGCTATTTGTAATGGAAGTGATTGACCACTACATAAATTGTCCATTTCCTTCGACACGATGAAAAACTTTTTCACTTCACTGTCCGCTGTAGAACTGTATACGACCGGGCACTGGCATTTCTTTCATGACAGCGTCCCATGCTGTTGACAAAAAAAAGAAACAAGAGTAGAATAAGTACAAAGAGTGAGTGAGAATATTGAGTGAAAAATGAAACGTTGTCTTACCTAAGCCAACAAACGACACGATCTTATCGTGATTGTAGGTCTGCACGTTCAACTCTTCCTCGGGCGCTACGTAAAGCATAGAGAAGTCTTCCTTAGGCGGATGAAATTTCTCTATGATTCCGGGTGGCGGTGGAGGCGGCGGTGGCAGATATGTAGGCGGCGCGAATCTGGTAGGATAGCCCATGTACGGTAACGGTTGAACCATGACTGGATGCATAGGCGTCACGTGAGCGTTCGGCTGTTGCATATGATAATTCGAGAACTTGTCGTATCTCACAGGTTTCTCGGCGAACAACGGTGGATTCCTCCCGAAATTGTTGGGCGGTGGCTTGTTGATGAGCGGCGGTACGGTCGGGGAAAAGACAGGATTCGCCGCGACCGTCGGGGTTTCCTCGTTGCCGTTATCTTCCGAGAGCAACAGTTCGTTTATCTCGAAACCGAACGTGAGCTCCGTCGGTAGATTGTTGTTCTTCGCGATGTCCGAGGACGTCTCGTCTAAGAGGATCACCGCCGGTCTAGGAGTCGAACTCTTCATCTGCTGCGTCTCCACGGACGATCTCTGCGGGTGATCCTTCTCGGACTGCGCGTTCGGTGACTTCGTCTTCTTGCTCTCCGTCTCGTCGCGCTGTTGATTGTCTTGCTTCGAGTTCTGCGACTGAGAGACTACCACTTTGACCGCGTCGTGCTTCATCGCGGTATTTTGATACTCTTTCGTAACCCTCGCTGTCCTCGATTCACCGCCGGTAGTCTTGTTATTGCTACATTCGGGCTCGCCGCTCTGCGAATCCTGCATGGGTTTCGCAGTCTTCGACTTTTGCGCGTCCGCGCAATCATGCGATACGATCGTTGGATTAGCCCTACTTTCGGACTGCGGAGGAGTGTCGATATTATGCGATTTCTTAATCACCTCCTCGTGATAAGAAGACGCAGGCTTTTTCATGTGCTGTTCCTCGTGTGATCCCTGAGTTTGTATATTTTGATTACTGTGTACGTAATTCCTACGAGAGCGAGAATTATTGGCTCTTGGAAGTGTAACACAATCTTTATTGTTGACGGTGCAATTAGGATTGTTATCAGTGTCGATTGGATTATAATTCATCGTTGTACTATTGTTATTATTATATCTTGGTGTTACAGCGTTTGTCGCAATAGTCTCGTTCGAATTCGGACTGTAATTGCTAGGAGTCATGTTTTTTTGTTCCTTGTGGTCGGATGCTTGTGTTAGGCTTTCATGCATTTTCTCGATGTCTTGCACGTATTTGAAGACTTGGATGTTCTTATTGATGGCCTCTTCCTGAGCCTCAGCTTTCTTCCTATCCGACGAACTTTTCATTTTCGCCAAAGTCGGCGAAAGCGGCTTTTCGAAAGCCAGACTCAAACTTGTTGCTGCGTGGTTCGATTGTGTCTGTTGCTGTCTCGCTTTCCTGTCCGGGTGCTGCAATTCGTCTAAACTCGGATAATAATCTTGAGGCACTTTATCTGGTTCCGAAAAAGTCTTAGGCGGAACACTGGGCCACGACGACGTGTTTAGCATAGCGGACATAGTCAGATTAGTCGACATGTTGATATTGGATATAGCCATGCGCGTTATATCCGCGTAACTCGCTTGCGGAGTGCCGCCCGACGATGCTGCGATTTTGGACAAATTGTGCTTCGAGGTATTTGATGTAACTGGTAATGAATGGACCGAATCTAAGTCGCTACTATCCGCCGACTTGTCGCTGCAAGGAATTACAACGTAGATAAACATTAAAATCTTCGAATTAAGTGTCTATAGATCTCCACCGTCGTCCATAATTTAACTCCCAAACTAAACGCTACTATATATCTCCACTGTCTCATTGAACGAAACAAATAGAAAACAGAAAAAAAAAAAAAAACAGCCAACCACTAAGTAAAACTCAAGCGGTTACTCTCTTTTATTTTCTATCTGTCTCGCTCGACAAGATCATGGAGAGGACGAAGCATTTTGTTCGCGAGCTAAATTTTCACATATAAGCAATTATTTAATTACCTCGGAGGCATACTGCTAGCCGATTTTCTTCGGAGTTCAGGAGAGAGAGGCGTTCTGTAGTCGTTAGAGAATCCTCGGGAATTTTGGAGGTACGATCCCGATGTTGTTAGGTTTGGCGCTCTACTACCGCTGGAGCTTCTTCTCTGTTTTTTGGCCTTTTTCTTTTTCGTAACTACCAGAAACTCTGTCTCGTGTTCCGGTTCCGGATTAATCTTTTTATTGGAATTACGGCGACTCGTGTAATCCTCCCCCGTATCGTTGCAATATATCGATTGACCTTCCTCTGTCCCCCAGGATCGTCTGTCGCCTCGACTATCAACTGTCGCATCTCCGGTGCTTCTTTGTTTTGGACGTCGTAATGCTATATTTACTCCTATCGTTATAAAAACAGTATAATAGTACATAAATATATATAAATGTGTGTGTGTGTGTGTGTGTGTGTGTGTGTATACATATAAATACATACTCGTATATAAAAGTCATACCGTGTTGACTGGATACGCTGCTGGCACCACTGGAGCTGGGACTCTTCTCCGTCGTGAGATCCTCCAATTTTGTCTTCGAGATTTCTTCTAAGGAATTAGACTTCTTTAACTTGGAAGGCAATTGTTCCCTCTTTGTATCCTTCTCTCTAGTTCTCGGTTTTGTCCCAGAGCTGGTTTTCACTCTAACGGGATTACCGGTCTTTCCCTTTTTGCTCTTGGATTCTTTGTTCTCGATGAAGTTAATTAGACTGTCGATATCCTCGTTACGATGGCCTTCGACGTTTTCGGCATTATAAACTTTGACATTGTGTTCCTGAGTATGTTTCCTCCTGGGCTTCTTCCGTTCACCGTTGTAAGTCTGTACAGCGTTGCCATTTTCATCCAACGATTTCTTTTCTCCCGACACGGATGGATCCTTCATCGTGATGTGCTGCGTTGTATACCTTGGACCTTCTGTGTACACGCACACACGCACACACACACAAATCATACATTTTACTAAGAATCTCATTAATTTTATATAGGCTTGGATAAAACGCAAATAAATTTTCTTACGTATTCGTAGGAAAAATCTTTCAAAAGTTTAACCAGGCATCACACCAAGTAATGTGTTACGTACAATTAAAGTGTTATTCTTACCCATTGTTATATTCTGCGTTTGCCAAGACGCCGGCATCACGGAGCATAAACTGGGTACGATTTTACTTTGGCTAGTACTGGAACCGTTTGAAGCCCCACCTATACCACATTTTACACTGTTGTGCGGTTGAAACAACGCCCCAGTCACTTCTGTACCATTAACAGACATTTTTGATTTCTCTTGCTTATGATCACGTATAGGAAACTCTATAGTAGTGTCCACAGGTGTCTGTGCTATATCGAAAGTTGCCCGTGTGACATAATGGATCGGTTTGCGCGGTTCGATTATTTTCAATTCGGTCCCTTCGTCATTTTCAGTGTCTAACGAGCGAGGCCTCTGAATCCCACTTGCCGTAGATCCCACACTTCTTTCACTAATAGCACCTACCTAAAATAAATAAAAAATAGTCTCTTACGTGTCGCATATATTATTTTCACCAAAGCACTTTCTGCGTAAAAATAGAAAATAATCTTCCTCGTTATTAAAATAGACCGTTTGGGATCAAACTGTAGATCCCACATAAAACTATAAAAAGATGTACACTACAAAATATGCAGAAGGGCTCATCATCCCTCTCTTCTAAGAGGCTACAAGATTGAGGAGAGATCAATTAGCTTTACCTCAACATCGCCCAAGTCAATGACCATGTAATCCGATTTATATTCAGGGGGTGGATTATCCGACTCCAGCATCTCATTTGTTCCGTATTTTCCTTTGCTAACTCGTTTCTCTCGTGTTTCGGACTCTGCCTCAACTGAACTATTAGCAGTGTCTCTTTTCAGTTCCTTCTTTTCTTTCTCTTTTTCCTCTTTCTTTGTACTGGTATACGATGGTTTATCTAAAGACTTGGATTTTTCCTTATTGGTCCAGTCATAAGCTGACCGTTCCTCACAGAAGCTCTTCTTTACAAACAGATAAGAAAATAGTCAAAATGTTGTTTGTGTACACAAGTTCTCACTATTACAATCTCATCATGAAACGTATCTTTTAAATAAATATTAAATATAATTTATTATCCATTAATAAAACAAAGATTTATATTTGTGAATAATCTTAAATTCATATTATAATATCTAATAATAAATACCTTTTTATCAAATATTAGATCCAAATTAGCCAAAGAAGCTAGGTTATGCGATGCATTCACATTCGACGGTAACGATCCACCTTCTCTCTGTCTGGCAGAGACACTAGGTCCTGTATACTTTTTGTTCTTTCTCCTGTTGCTTCCGTAAGTATGACACGAACTGGATGCTAGATAAGCAAAACTACTGTCAAATTCCGAAGCTAAAGGTTGCGCTAAATTTTGCAATGATCCGCCATGTGTCAAACGTTCGGACACAGATTCCCGTTTATGTCTTCTACGATTTGAGCCCGGAAGACAGCGTGAATTAGATATCACTCTACGGCCTTCTTCAGTCTCGTCCGCTTCTGCTTCTTGCAAAAGTTCCTGTAACACGCACATCATTTTGTATACACCTTAATGCACCCGCATTCTTATATGTAACTTCACAAAGAAATTCCAAAATACATACTTTAAAAAGAGTAGACTTTCCTTCCCGATCTTTTGGACACTTGTACGTTATAGCTTCGTCCAGTAAAGCACGTAACTCGTTATCATTTAGCATAGATAGGGTTGCTGGTTCTTCCTAAAAATGAAAATAATTGAAAAAATTATGTCATTTATGCAAGACTGCACACATTTTTATAGAATTTCCCTAACTTATCTTAGCTAACAGTAAGTATCTTTTGAATAAAGATTAAATAAATTGATCCCTCCCAGGATTTTCTTTCTTATTTAAATAATATCTATATAATAGAAAATATATTGTAACAAATATATATTATGTCACAATGTTAAAAGTTTTACGATAGGAATTGGTTTGCATGCAAGTCGAATAGTAACAGATAATAGAGAATTTAAGGTTTCTCTTATTGGATCTGTATAAGGCTTATAACACACCACACAGTGAAGCATAAGATATATACACACACATCAAGATTGTCACAAATTCCTTATCCTAGAATTCTATATAACTTCCCCGATTTCCAAACAAAATTTTTTAACTTTGTACAATACTTTTAATAACATTTTGAATTTCTTTGTGTTTTTGTCTTAATGTGAAAACAGTATTTTGTATAAAATATTTTGTCGACCGAAAACAATTTAACGTAACAATGTAAATTGCTATTAATGTTGCTGACACTGCTTGGCATTTAATCGTTAAGTTGGCAGCAATTCCAAAACTATGTAGGTGTAATGACACATTGAAATTTCTTTTGAAGCCAAGAATTTTTACTTTCTACAAAACTTTGACTTTTCCTTGATTTTTCCAACCATTTTCAATTTTCCTGACATTTCCCTGATTTCCAGTTTTGCAGGGACCCAATAATACATGAATAATTTTTTTACACACACACATATGATGTTTATAGAACGCTGGGTAAACATTCAAAATCCCAAGTAATTTACTCTACACCTTAAGGCCTTCTCTCCATTAATACGCCAACATAACCAAATCAGCTTGTATGCAAGCAAACGAAACGGATTTCGTACGCGACACACACAGCTGCATACGCGGCGATATAAAAAATAAAATATGTCGAGATACCGCGCCACCGCGTTATCGTCACGTTAACAAAAAAAAAAAAAAAAAAAAAAAAACATACCGGGTGCGAGAAATCGGCCGCATTCTCGAAGCCCCGCGAATTGCGTTTTTTCACGCGCAAGAAATTCCGACGGGGTGCTCCGTAAAAAAAAAAAAAAACAGGAGACGAGACAAGTGACGTGGGCAGATCAAAAAATCGAGAACGCACTCGGGGGACAAGACGGGGGCGACGAGTGACGACGCAAGGGAGGCGAGGGGAGATCTCAGGATAACGATACAACGGTTTGGTTCGGCGAACTCGCGAACGTCCAATGACGTGACGGCGAAGAAAATCGTCACGGAGTCCCAATTTCTTATACGGGGTGACTCGCGAGAGCGTATAGGAGCGACGAGGACAGCGAATATGATCGGCGGACGATTTAACGTATAGCGGAATCGCGGCGATCGACGTCGAAGGGGGGAGGGAGGGGAGGGAGGGGGGCGGCGATGCGGAGAGTCCGATCCGTGGGCCTTTTGCGAGATCGATAACGCTCCAGCGATTAGTTAATTAAGACGCGAGAGCTCCGAGGTACGGGGGGAGGATAGAGGGAGAGAGAAAGAGACAAAAAGAGAGAAAGAGCGAGAGAGAGCGATATCGGAATAACTTACGACGGAAGATGGTGGAGAAAAAAATCCGCCGTGCAATGCCGGCACGGAATTCGTATTTTTAGAGGACACACGGACGGCCGGGCTCGCCCGTTCGCTCCGAGATCGCACTTTCGCGGCTCGGTCGGCACTCCGCGGTCGCACTGGCCGCTTTTCTTTCAGCACACCACGAGCGAACGAACGTCGCGCACCACCCCGGGACCCGCGTTGCCGGGCTACGTGCGCAAGCTGCGTCGTCGTCGTCGTCGTCGTCGTCCTTCGCGGAGGTATAACCAGTAACAACAACAACAACAACGACGTCGTCGTCGTCGTTGCCGTCGACAGATACGACGAGTCCCGGTATTTGAAAGCTACTGCGACGAGCGGGCGCGGCGCGCTCTTCCCAGCATGGCCGCCGCCATTACACTGAAAGCACGACCAGGCCCAGGGGCGTACGAAGGCCGCGAGGCGCCACGCGGCTTCCCCGAAATAGCTCTCGCGCGCCCCCCCCCCCCTCCCGCCCCTGCCGTCCTTTTCTTTCTCCTGCCGACGGTTTTGTAAGTGAAAACAAAGAAGCGGAAAAAAAAGCACGCGTTTCAGCTTGATTTTCAACACCGAGGGTCGATTGTAGGTCTGTTTTCTGTATAGTCTGAACTAGGATAGGTACACTTTTAGAATTCAAGCCTGTGACATACGACGCTTGATTGTTCAATTTCCTGCTGAAATATTTGCGTTCTCAGTAAATTATAATATTAAAATTTTGTGCCACACACACATAGACACAAAACGTAAGATCTGTTTGTGTTTGCACTTTTTACAGACAGCGTCTTCTATTTATCTCTCTTTATGTGCAAAAGTCTTGAGGATTTTAAGTAATGCGAATAGACCTGTAGAATTTTCTGATTTATGAAAACACAAACAAGTAGAAAAAACGCATCTAAACCGCAGACTTCAAAGTGAAATAGATGTATTACTTGACGATAATGAGAACAAAATACAATTGAATAAACAATATATCTGGATACTTACTCATGAAACAAGTCGAAATGGATTCTGATCGGAATTATTTCGCTTTCCCTGGAAAACACAATCAAAATCTAAGAAATAATTGAATAACTCCGATCAGAAGCCATTGCGAATAATTTCATAATACGTGTGAAAAAAACTCAAAACAAGATGAAAATTACAAAAGTGAGCAGTATCTTCTTTGGGTGTTGCTGCGTCAAGCAGGAAAAACTGCTTTGCAATTGTTGTAAGATTCTTTAATATGATTAGTTCATACACTCATAAAATTAATTATATTACAAAATTTTACAACAGTTGCAAAGCTGCTTTTTCCGTTGAACGTGTAATGAAGAGATCTCTTCCATATAGCTGATATGATGTACACTTTTAGAACTTAAAGTGAAATTGGATATGTTTAATATTTGATAAAAACGAGGAAGTTTCAGTGCAATCTATAGTGCAGGAATAAAAACAGATCTAATAAAATTATAAATCATTAAATTTTGAAAAATAACAAGGACTCTTTATCTATAAATAATAATCAATAACAATAAAAGGGCGAAGTAAGAGTCAATTATTAAAAATTTGAATACAAAAAGAAATCTACTTAAAATCTACTTAAATAATGATGTAATGACGATGTAACTGCAGTAACCAGTTTAAGTAGATTTCTTTTTGTATATTCAAATTTTTAATAATTTTGTATTCTTAGTCGAAAATTAAATATGTCAATATTTCCATAATTTTAATCTTAATTTGACTCTTACTTCGCCCTTTTATTGTTATCGATTAAAATTATAAATATTATGTTGAATTTGCTCATTTTTGTAATCTTCACCTTATTTTAAGATACACAATCCCTAGGCTCTTGAGAGGTGGACTCGATCATGAGTCTTGTAAAGGTGAAAAAAAAAAAAAAAAAAAAAAAGCAAAATCTTTCGTTGATCATCACGTCTCCCAATCGTTTTTGTGCGACAACGAAATGTGATTTGTCACGGAATGGGACGGCACGTTCTCGCTCATGACAATCACGCCTGCGTACTCGGGTAGTCCTCTGTTTAGATGATCATGCGTATACATACAATACATACGTGCACGCGGTGGTTATCCGGGATTGAGAATCAAGACGGGCTTGCACTCGCGACCCTAAATATATGTGGGACGTACGTGGCGCGAGTTCTCTCGCCTTTGTTGAACTCGACGATGTGTGGGACAGATTATTAGAGAATATCATATATCCCTTTCTTCCGGCGATCTTCGATCGTTCGGATACGTTACATTTGTAACGCGAATCGCGATTCAATACTCAGCGTTGCTCTCTTTCCATGTTCGAAGGGCGAAAGGCCTGTTTTTTTTTTTTTTAATTAAAAATATGAAAAAGAAAAAAGGATTAGCAGCATCGGACCAGTGCATCTTGAAACGAAATGAAAATTACCAAATGATCGAATTTATTAGAGTATTTAAAATTTCGTTGCCAACGTTTAGTAAATTTGCTTTACTTTTGTAATTTTTGCCTCATTTCACGAGATATAGAATCGATCCTAAGAGGTTCAGCTGAAAGAAACAGACTCTCGAACGTCCTTCATCGATAGGTTTGCTTTTTTTTTTTTATCTGCATTGAACTTTCCTTCTCGTTTTCGAATTTGGAAATTTCGAACATATATAGGATCACTCCGGTATAAACGTCGCACCTAACAAAAGAAACTTAATTCAGCACTACTGATAGATTTAAAAATCTAATTTACTAAGAGTGTATTATTTATACTATATGTTTAAAGTAAACGAACTAAACCAATAAAAACTTTGTATTGTCTGCTACTGTAAAAAAAATATCAGACATCCGAAATAGTTATTTTTCGTATTAAAAGAAAACAACTTTTGTGTGTGGAACCCTTGCACACTTTTTGTTGTAATATGACTCATGGAGAAGGGAGGGAGAGATGAGATGTGAGATGTATGACTCATGAAAAATTTACGAATAATGCTTATAAAATGTAAAATGACACAATAACTTATAAAATGTGTTTACAGAGTTTTATTAGGGAATAAGAACGATAAATATATATATATTAGTCATTCTTATATATTTATCATTCTTTTTCTTTAATAAAACTTTGTAAACACATTTTATAAGTTATTGTGTCATTTTACGTTTTATAAGCATTTTATATATATATATATATATATATATATATTGTACTATATGAAAAAAGTGATAGATAATAATTATAATCTTTTAGATACATTACAAGTGTTATGATATGAAGTACATATTTCATGTAATGTAAAAATTTATTGTACTTAGTGCACTGAATCAAATTTACGCACTTTGTATGCTTTGGGTGTAAATTCCGTCCACTAAAAATATTCCAAACAAGTGAGATATATGAGACATCAAGCTGAACAAAGAA